GGAAGTGTTGCAAATGTTCTCAATCCTTATCCGAGTGGTAATTATACAATGGTATACACTAGTCAACAAGCACCAACATGTAACTTAAGACTGATGAATGTAATTATAAATAAAATGGTTGAGAAAGGAAGTGGAGGGGGCTGGAGAGATGGCTCAGAGGTTAAGAGCACTGACTGTTCTTCCAGAGGTTCTGAGTTCAATTCCCAGGAACCACATGGTGGCTCACAACCATCTGTTATGAGATCTGGTGCCCTCTTCTGGTGTGCAGATATACATGGAAGCAGAATGTTGTATATATAATAAATAAATAAAATCTTTTTTAAAAAGAAAAAAAAAGAAAGGAAGTGGAGGCTGGTGAAATGGCCCATGCCTTTAATACCAGCACTCAGGAGACAGAGGCAGGTGACTCTGATCTATATGGCAAGTTCCAAACCAGCCAGGGCTACAGAGTGAGACCATGCCTTTAAAAAAGGAAAAGAAATAAGGCGGGGGCCAGTGAGATGGCTCAGGTTAACCCCGGGAACCCACATGGTAGAAGGAGGAAACGGACGACCTCCCTTGCTTCAGGGTTTAATTCAGGCAGCCTGTTCAGGAAACGTACAAGGCCCTTGATGCATCATCTAGCTACTTCTCGAGCACAGCCCCGTAGCTTCCATTCTTCCCTTCAATGCCTGACTCTCTGCCACTGATTCTTATCTATTTCCAAGACTCTCTCTACTTCATCTCATGATTCTTGCTGTCAGTCTGTATGTTTCCCTCCTATTACGTTCTGAAGGCTGAGAGTAAGGCTGCAAGTGATCTTTGTGCTCCTGTCCTGGCACTGAGGTGTTTGGTGAAGACTAGAAGCACAGGGCTCTAAGCTGCACCACCATCATACTACATAAAACTCTGGCAGTGTAGGGAGGCCGCTGAAGGCAGCCTTGCTGACAGTCACAAGAATAGTTGTGAGTGTCACAGGAGTGAGGAAACATAGATACCCAGCAAACAGTTTGGCTCTTGGGGGTTCCCTAATGGCCTCTGTGCTGAAGGCGTGGTCCACAGGATGGCACTGTTGGGAGGAAAGGAACCTTTAGGGGTGGGACCTAGGGACAGGAAGTTAGGTCATTGGGGCATGACCTTGAGGAGAGTGTGGGAACCCAGCCCCTTTCCCTTCCTGCCTTGCTTCCTAGCCATGAGGTGAGTGATGGCTCTGTCTTGTGCTGTTTGGCTATAGGCCCAAAGTTTCGGGGCATCCTGTCAAGGGCTGGTACCTCCAGAACTGGGAGGTAGATCCTGCCTTTCTTCTTTGAAGCCTGATTGTCTCAGGCACTTGCTCTAGAGGTAATTGACACAGAACGTGTAGTGTCTTGGGTACTAGTTTGGGGCAAAGAGCTACTTGTAACAGGAGACCCTGAGGTTGGCATTGCTACCCCAAAGGTCTTGGCTACTTCCTAATGTTCAACGTATGGCTGTGTGTCCTCAGACATGTCATGTATGCTCACCTTCAGAGTGGCAGACCAGAGCTACAACCCTGGGTACCCTCTGGGCCTTGGCCACCAACCTGCTGGGAGACCTAGATAAATTGATCCCCTCACCCCTCTGCTGTCTCACACCATAGAAAGTGCCTGAGTGGTTAGTTATAGTACTGCAAGGAAGCCCTGGTTTGAGCTGTCTAAGGTAGGCATTGAGCTATTCATTTCGGCAGCATCACCACCATCAATTCAAATAACATATAAGCAATGTTTTTTGTTTTCTTTTGTTTCTAAGGAGCTAAGACCATCCTAGATCCCATGTTGGCTCTAAAAAGCCAACGGCGGTGTCTGGCTTATAGCCAGTGCTTACCAGGAACAGGTGCCGGGGGTGTCGGCTTTTCCCTCTCACTCTCATCAGCGTTCCTTCCTTCAGGAACTCCTGTAGGGAGAGAAGCCAACCTCAGAAGTCAAGAAAGTCTGGGGAGGATCTGTGTAGGAGGCAGTCACCATAGCTATCTGAGTATCCAGGAACAGCTTATGGAGACTCTGGGCTCAGGAACCCACCCTGGGCAGGGTCTTCATGCAGCAACAAGCTGAACACTGCTCTGGCCACCAAGTATGTGTCCCAACCATGACTCTCTCCCTAAACGGCACCACAAAGGGTCCATTAAGAATAGGGCCTTTGAAGATTTGCTGAACATCTGGACCTGTGAATTGTAACAGCCCCACCCTTCTGAAGGATACAAACACAGACTTAGGAAGGATCTCAGGGCACAGACTCTCAGAACTGCATATGAGATTTCACAGAATCCTAGACTAGTACCATCCTGCCTATGTGGCTCAATCCCTCATTCCAACTGGCAATGATCACACTTCTAGCTATTTTCTGAGCTGAGTTGTATGTTTTCCATCTGGAAGCTAAAGAGTAAATCAATCAATCTCTGCCCCACCCCTCCCTTTCTGGGCATAGACCCCAGGACCCAGCATATACTAAGCATGTGCTGCACCCCCAAGTGTCACCCAGCCCCGTTTTGTTAAGAATGCTATTTTTATGTTGCTTTCTTGGGGCCTGCCTTTAAGAGCTGCTCTGATCTCTGCTTTCCTGGAAACCTGGAAGTGAAAAACCCTAGGTACATTTTTTTTTCTCTCTGGAGAGCTACCCCGGGGCAGGTACGGTGAGCAGAACTGACTGGCACTGTTTCTTTAACTGCCCTGAGAGGGTATCATGCAAGGAGGGGTGCAGACAAGCTCCAGGGTGGTGCACCATGTCCCCCACCCCTCCTAAACAGCACCTGCAGCCAGACTCGTCTGGGACCAGCCCAGCTGAACAATGGGGCTTATCAGAGTCAAGCTGGCCCTTGTCCTTGCCCAGGCAGCACTCACCCTTCCTGGCTGGAGGAGGTCCCCTTGGCCCCGCACACTGTACTCAATGTGGACCAGCTTCTGCAGGTTTTCCTGTGGGCAGGAACAGGAGATGGTCACCCTTTCACTCCCCTACCAGGCACTGTGTATCCTCTGTAAGGAGACATTGCTTCCACTTCAGAGGAAGAAAACAGAGCACAGACAAGCCTGGCCCAAATCCAAGTTCCTAGAAATGGCAGGCAGCACGGGGTTCTCAGCCTGGGATTTCTCAGAGATGAAAGATGAAGGGACTGTCACACCTTTGGCCACATCAGAAGGAAGAGGAGGCTGGTAGATGGAAGTAACAAGAATGTAGGGCCAGCAAGAGATGGTTCAGTGGGTAAAGGCAACTTGCGGCCAAGCCTGATGACCTGAGTTCAATCTCTCAGAACCCACTTGGTAGAAAAAGAAATCTGACTCCACAAGTTGTTTGTTCTCTGACCTTCAAATATATGAACACAATAAATGCAAAGAGATTGTTTTTAAAGAGGAAGGCAGTTAAAGTGTTCTTGAGTTTGTGAAGGTCAAGTGTGGGCTGGTAGCACAATTCAGGGTAAGGAAACTACAGACACAGATAGGATCCAGCTAAGCTCTTCCAGGTGTCTGTCAGGCTGACTACCCCAGAGGATGGGCAAAGACTTGTCCATGCCCAGCCTCAGGTTCAAGGAAGAATGGGGCCGCCACAGTGGGGCTGCCACTAGGCAGCCAGACATGCCCTCCCTCAGAGAAGGCACACATGGGGAAAGGACCTCCCCGCCTGCAGAGATTTCTGGAAACTGGGAATGGAACTGAATGTGAGAGGCAGCACGTTGAGCCCTGCAGACGCACCAGACCTGGAGGGAGATGACAGCTGACAAGGATGGAGGTCAGACGAGTACCCAGACCCATCACAACCTATGGCTGGACTGAATCAACTGGTCACTTTCCACACATAGTGCAACCAAAATAATATGCAAATGCTGTTCTCTACAGCCCCCACAGAGCTTATATTCATAGTGTCTGTTATTCAGCCAAAAGTCACAAGAACACTTTGGCTGTAGGGCATGAAGAAACCAAGCTGCAACTGACCTGAAAGCTTCCTTCCAGGTGACTAGCTTTCATATGGCTATGCAGGCTGCTGGGGGAGAAAAGCTCTCAATAGTACTACTCAGGAAAGATGTGCCCACTGGTGCAATAGTGGCATGAAGGTTATAGGAGCAGCCAGCCACTTTGGGATTGCATTTCCACAGGAGGAAAATCACGTCTGTCACTGTGATCCTAGTCAAAAGCCCATGGCTAGGGAGGTGATAGGCCCTACGAAGGAATCACTGCTGTTGCCTTGATAAATGGACATGTTGTCAAAGTGCATTCTAAATATTTATGTTTATACATATATGTAGGGGAATCCTGTATAGAGGTAACACTAACCACGCCCGCTTGGGCGTGGTCAGAGCGACATGAGAAAGGTTTAAGACTGAGGGGTGCACACACGGGGCCCCTTTTTCCCTTGCTCCCTGCTGCCTGGCTAGGCAGATCTGTGAGTACTATTTCTTAATAAAATATCTGTTATCTATCTGATCTGACTCCATGTTTAATCCCCCAATACATATAGATTAGTGCTGCCTTCAATCTTGGTCAGAGAAGCTTCTCTCTGCAGTGGTCAGACTCCTAACTGTTAAAGTGCTGAGTATAAATGATGATTAAGTGTTTAGCCATCTACATCAACCCTTAACTCCTAAGGCTCAGAAAGCACTATGGAAGTTGGGGGGGACGACAGAAAGAATATAAGGACAGGATGATGCGGAGGAGTGCTGTGACATGCCATCTTCTAGATATGACATAGCCATTGCATTTACAGCAACTATGGTCACCTGATGGGGAATGTACTACTGTGTATGTTCATCGTATTGATTGTTGAATAAAGTACTGTTTGGCCAATGAGGCAGCAAGTTAGGCGGGACTAGGAGTCAAAGAGGATTCTGGGAAATGTAGTAAAGAAGTGATGATCCAGGCAGGAAATGACATAGCAGGGAGACTCATACATAAAGAAGGGAAGAAGGAAGTGGGTCCCTTCTCTCTTCCTCCGGAGCCACCATGTGATCCCGGGATGAGGATGCTAATGTAAAGTGTCCGATAAGATAAGTCTTATAAAATATATAGATTTGTGATCATTAAGACTGAGCTAGCAGATGAGAAACCCTAGTCATTGGCCAAGCAGCATTTGTACCTAATATAAGTCTTTGTGTATCATTTGGGGCCCTAACTCAGTGGGCAGAACTCGGGCGGCTGGTAGAAAGCGCCCGTGTGGTGATAGGGCTTGGGTGGCTTTTGGCGGAAAGATTTATCATAACAGTCACCTGCCTAAGACCTGAGTAATATCAAGCCAACAAGATCAGTCAGCATTGCAGTAGGCAGAACCAATTGGATTCAGTGAGTTACAGTAATAAAAAGAAAAGGATACTAAGGGAGATATATACTGAGGATGTTGGGAGGAATAGAAGGGGGTTTGGGGTAGATACGATCAAAATACATTTTTATGTGTATTAAGTTATCAAATAACATGTAAAAGACGTGCTATTTTTTTTAAACCATGAAGGCACACATGCAAAACCAAATTGGGTTGAGGGGATGAGTTGGAAAGATGGCTCAGCAGAGGACACTGGCTGCTCTTCCAGAGGACCTGGGTTCGATTCCCAGCACCCACATGGCAGCTCACAATCACCTGTAACTCTACTTCCAGGGTTCCAATGCCCTCTTCTGGCCTCCACAGGCTCCAGGTACACATGTGGCACACAAGATTTACACATTTTGCTGGCAAAATACCTGTTATATAGAATAATAAAGAAACAAACTGGGGAGACAAACCAATTTTTTTTTTCATAGAGAAAGCAGTCTACACATTCTAGGTAACAGGCATCAGAGCTCTGAGCCAAGAACCAAAGCAACTGTCATGCTGTGGGCCTGGTGCAAAGGTATATGACATGCACACACAGACGGAGAACTTCAGTAGGGCTGCTGACTGTACAGAGGCGTTCAGGGAAATTACAAACAAAACACACAACCCAAGATACCAGAAATGAAGACTCTTCACAGGCTTAGCTGTGAACTGAAGAGAGCTGAGGAAAGGAAGACCCAGAGGGCACAAAGACAGATCACTAGTACACAGATCACTAGTACACAGGGTGAGAAAAGAGGTGATGGAGAAATAGCTCAGTAGTTAAAGTGTTTGCCATGGATGCAAGCATGGAGATCCTAGTTCAATCCCCCATACCCATGTAAAAGCCTGGGTGTGGCACCTGTAATCCCATCACTAGGGAAGCAGATACTGGCCAGTCAGTCTAGCTGAATCAATGAGTTCCAGGGTCAGTGGAAAAATTCTGACTTAAAAAATAAGGTGGGTCGATGGGATTTGGTGGCACATGCCTTTAATCCCAGCCCTTGGGAGGCAGAGGCAGGCGGATCTCTGTGAGTTTGAGGCCAGCCTGGTCTACAGAGTGAGTGTCAGGATAAGCTCCAAAGCTACACAGAAAATCGCTGTCTAGAAAAACAAAACAAAACAAAAAACAAAAACAAACAAACAAACAAAAAATAAAACCAAACCAAACCAAAACAAAATGAACCCAAAAAATAAGGTGGGTCGCTGGGAGTGGTGGCACATGTCTTTAGGCAGAGGCAGGTGGATCTCTGTGTTCGAGGCCACCCTAGTCTGCATAGTGAGTTCCAGGACATCCAGAACTATATAGATTAAACCTGCCTGAAAAAAAAAGATGGAGGCCCACTCTGCAAAATGAAACTCATACCTTGTCCCATCATTGAGGCCAAGAGTTCATGGCTAGACAGGTCACAGACCTTAGCTGAGACCCTATACCACTATCATTCTGCTAAATGGACATCATATTAAACTGATGCCTGATGTCTTATTGTTATTTCCATAGATTAGTGCATCTCTCAACCTTCATCAGAGAAGCTGCTTTTAGCAATAGAGACCCACAATTGGTCAGGGTGTAGAGAAAGATAGACTGCAGGATGCTCAGCCCTAAGTGGGACGCCTATATCACACTCCTGCCTTGAAAGGCTCAGGGATCGATGTGGAAGAAGGGGCAAGAAGACTGTAAGAGCCAGAGGCAGTGGCTGACTACAAGAAAACTGTGTTTCCCAGACTCAACAGGGCGTCTGTGAAGATGAACTCAGCAGTTTGTGACATTTGCAAAAACCCAAGCCAGCACAGACAGTGGGGAGGTGGGCACGAAGTCCAACTCCTAACTGAGGAGTTATTGGCAATGAATAGTTACTGGTGGATGGAGAGTCAGTTTTCTTTAAGGGTATGATTCCCAGTATGTCCACCATGTTCCAGTGGAAAGCCACACACTCAAGAGTTTATGTAGCATTAACTGGACCATATGGGAGGGAAAGCACAGATTAGAGTGGGGAGGGAAGGGGGTCTGTCTCTGGAGGAAGGGGTTAATTATGATCAAAATACATTGTATGAAGTCCTCAAAGAAGGACCAGGAGGCCTCTATGGCCAAGATTAAGGCTCGGGACATGCACAGCAAGAAGGAGGAGCTGCTAAAACAACTAGATGATCTGAAGGTGGAGCTATCCCAGCTTCTCATCCAAACTCTCCAAGATACGAGATGTCCACAAATCCATTGCCCGTGTCCTCACCATAATTAACCAGACTCAAAAAGAAAACCTCAGGAAATTTTACAAGGGCAAGAAGTACAAGCCTCTGGACCTGTGACCCAAGAAGACTAGAGCCATGCGCCACCGCCAGCTCACCAAACACAGAGAGAACCTGAAGACCAAGAAGCAGCAGAGGAAGGAGAGGCTATATCCGCTTCACAAGTATGAGGTCAAGGCCTGATGGGAAGGCAATAAAGTGCAAGACTGGCAAAAAAGAAAAAAAAAAGAAAGAAATTCTCAAAGAACTAAAAAAGAAAAAAAGAAGGTGGAGAGTAGTTGAAGCAGATACCAACACTGACCTCCATATGCATCTGTGAACATGTATATACTATACATGTATGCATACACAAAAAAGAGAAAGGAAAGAGTGTCTGCATTTGTGAATGTGTGTGTATGTTACACAAAAAAAGAGGGGAAGGAAAGAGTGTGTGCCAGTGTGAGTGTGTGTGTGCGTGTGTGCGTGCGTGCGTGCGTGCGTGTGTGTGTGTGAATTGGAGGGTGACGAGAAGAGAGCATCCAAGACACTTTTCCAAATTAAACGAATGACCAATAAAGCTCAGATCCAAGCAAGAGTTACCATGCCCAGCCAGCCAACAGAGAAGATATCACAGGCATTCAACAGGGAAGGACACACAACACACAGGGCAAACATAGCATCATAACAACATTCTTAGGAAACTGTGAGTCAGAAAACAGTGGTGCACCATCTTTAAGTTACTGAGAGAGAGAAAAAAATTGACCAAACCAGTTTTTTAGACCCAGGAAAAAATATATATTTTTTTTAAAAGTGAGGGTAAACTGCACAGTTAACTACATGGGAGACGGATGGTGGGAAGCAGGTTCTCTCTCATGCAGTGAGTTTGATAAGGAAGGCGAAGGACTAGACCCATCCAGGTGGTAATAATTCGACTAGACAGGCTGATTAGGTTTGGGAATATCGGCCTATGTGTCTATGCCTAGGTCAGCAGACACATGTCTTTTTCTTCACTCTGTTAACCAGGAGCACCTAACAGAAATGAGAGCCTGCAGCACAGTAGGCTTGGTTTCTAGGCAAATGTTCTACCCCTTAGCTCTTTTCCATCCAGGGAAACTTCGAAGATGGTCTATTCTTGGAGAGAATTCTTGGAGAGAAGAATGAACAAACCAACAAACTACCTACACACTCAAAGGCAGACGCACAGGTCACTGAAAGAGCACTCCAGGACAATTCTTGCCAAAGGACTTCCATTTCGAACACTGTGGGTTTAAAAATTGTTGTAATTTGACGCTTCTATATTTTGAGAAATAAATAAATCATTGTGGTCTAAAATAAATATCCATGAATCAGTGCTGACATAAACAATTGGTCTGTTTTATGTATGAGGATGGGCTGCATCCATCATTGAGAGGGAAGAGACACATCTACAAATAAGATTCCAGAATATTGAGGAGGCCGTCAGCTTAAAGGAAAAGGTAATGTGTCTCTTTGTACTACTTCAGTGTATACAGTGTGGGCACAGTGAAGTAGTGCACAGGGACTTTCCTTCAGAGACTGCGGAAAAGGCAGGGAACACATGATCTCAGTCAGGGGACCAGGGTTATGTCATGCCGTGACAAGATGGAGTCCCACTTTTGTGATCTTCTCATGTACCCACAAATCTGGTCTTATAATGAGGAAAACCTTAGATTCCAACAGTGGGAGCTCATGCTCCCTCAAGACCTCCATAGTCTTCAAAGTCAGGGAACATCTGAGGAACTGGCTCCAAATGTAATGGCCAAAGTGATGTATCCTTGAACAGGACATTGGGCCTGTGAGAATGGGCCTGTGAGAACTATGGGTAATAATGCCATTTCTGATGGGCTCCATGTTACTAGAAGACATTAACCCATGGGAACTCTTGGTATTATCTTCTTAAAATGTTCTGTGATTTAAAAAATTGTTCAAAAAATATGTTCAGAAAGCAGCATAGAGGGCTCCAGGGGTTGGGTGATGGGTGATATTTAAGGGGACAGAGTTTTAGTTGGGAAGATGACAACATTCTGGAGATGGGCTTTGTGACCAGCGCACAATTTAAAGATGAGCTAAAGGCCGGGGAGAAGTGGTATATGCCTTTAATCCAAGCACAAGGGAGGCTGAGGCTGGCAGATCTTTATCTCAGAACAAAACACAACAGCAGCAGCAATAACAAAAACTGGCTAAGGCTACGAGTGGACTTCTGCAGAGAAAAGACAACATACAGATGGCTAACTGGTGTATGCAAAAGGCTCAATGTCACTCACTCATCATTGGGAAACACAAACCAGACCCATGAGACAGCACCCCCCTCATAAGAAAGACAAGTATTGAAGAGGAAGGGAAGGACTCAAGTGTGGGTGAGGGTGTGGAAAAAAGAGACCCCTGGTGGGTGCCAGTGAGATCAGTCTTACGGAAATTAGTATGGAGTTTCCTCAAACCACTAAAACTACTGTATGACTCAGCAATCCTACTAGATACATCTAAAGGAATCAGAACTGACATGTCACACAGACATCCACACCCACTCCCCTGGTCACTGCAGCATTGCTCTCAGCAGCAGAGAAATGGAAGCATACGTAGCCTGTCTACAGATAAGTAGAAAAGAAAACTCCATCTGTACACACAAGAGAGTATGATTCAGCCTGAAAAGGAACAAAATCCTGTCATTTAAACAAGAAAAGGAATTGGAGAATCATTATGTTAAGTGAAATAAGCCAGCCACAGAGACACAAGCACAAACATCTCCTGGTCTCCGGTGGGGACTCTAGGGAAAGCTGTCTCGTGGGGGATTAGTACAGTGTTATGAGACCAGGGAGAGGGAGTTGGGAGGGTGTTGCTCATTGGGAACTGAGTCGCAGTTAGACAGGGGCAGGCAGCTCAGCTGAGCCACTATATCATGTAGTGAATGTGGGGACACTGGTACCCTGTGCTTAAGACACCTACAGGGATGGAACACTGCGCCACGAGGAAATGCCAAATGCAAGGAGGTAGGTAGGTACAGTCAGATTTAGATATTACAGTGTGCGTGAGAGTAATATCACATGGTAACCCTTAGAAGTTGCTGCATTTATGTTTTTATATAACACTTAAATTTGGTTTTGAAAGACACTGAGTTCAATTCAGCCATCTCATCCATGTCAGAGTGAATAGTGACCGGCAGCCATGTGACCGAAGCCTCAATTCTACACCAACACTGTCTCCTCCAGGAAGCCTCCCTGTCCTCAAAGTCTGTAAGTATTCCCAAACTCTGAAAGTGACATGCAATCACCGATATGAGGCATCTTAATGTTAATATCAATAGGACCACCCTGGATGCTACATGAAAATGGGTGGACAGAGCCGTCCAGAGCCAGGAGGGACCCAAGGGCTCCTCATAGCAGGAGGTGATGAGGCCTGGTCTGATGGCAGCAGAGCTTCAGCCCAGTCTTAGGAACACACAGCCTCTGAGCTCAGCTCTGGGTCAGGCTTATCTGGGTCCTCTAACTGTGTCACAAGCAGAGCCGGGAGCAGCGCTGGGGGGGGGGGGGGGGGGGTGGGGGGCTCCCTTGAAGCAGCTTGCCTATGCCTCCCACCACAGCATCCACCTCACCTTGAGTCGGTGTGGCTGGCTGCCCCTTCCCTCCCATGGGTGCTGTGCATGGAATCTCATCTCTCCCTGGGCAGGGGAGGAGACACATTCCTGTCAACTTAGAGGCAGGACTTCCTGAAGCAGGATGTGGAGAACACCACCAGCTGTTACAGCCACAGGTCCTGGCCCTCAAAGCACCTCTATCTTTCAGCTGCACTGAGGGAGCCTCACTGCATGCCCAGGATGCCAAAGTGACATAGAGTGAGGTATGACATCCTCACAGTGGGAGATAAGAGGACCAGATGACTGTGATGGCCATGATCCTCCTGGAAGCAGCCCCAGAAATGGACCTTTGTTTTCAAGCCTGTTGCCTTCAGCTTCCTCCTCAGCTGCCCACCCTAGCCAGCTCTAGCCTCTGTTCCCAGATCTAGTCTTAGCAGGCACATTCAGTGACAAAACACAGCTGATGCACTCCGGATCTCCCATTCCAGCCTCTGCCCTGGTCCTTTCTTCCTTGTCTTCTCATCAATGTTCATGTGCTTGCAGGGCTCGCCACAGATTGTCCTCTTGTCAGAAGTGATACTACCTCCTCTAACCCTAGGACACTGCATCCCCTGAACCCTCAGCCGCTCCTCTCTCACTAACCATTAACCATGGTATTTGCACCCATGGTCACTGCTCTGAGGAGCTCACAGCCAGACTTACAGGCAATATCCCCAGATTCCATTTCCTATTCTGTGTGGGTTCTTTGTGCATCTGCTGTAGCAGAGCCATTGAAAACAATGCCTTGGCACACATACCACTATCATCCCCTTCTATGCCAGTGAAAGGCATGACTAATGGATTGCTGAATTTTCGCACTAGATTAAGACTCAATTTCTGGCTCATTTTCAACACACAGCTCTAATGTGCTAACAGCCTGATGAATATGTGGATACAGATGACCATAACAACTACTCAGGTAGAGCTGGGATGTGAAAGAGAGCCTGATATCCTTAGCAGAAACCAGAAAACACCCAACCAATGGCCAACAAAGAGAACACATGCCATCACAACCAGATGTGTATCCAGAGCTCGGGCACCCAGAGGACCAGTGATTCTGACTTTGGATATGAGATGTTCCTAGGAGTGGAGCATGTTAGTTTCTGTGACCATGGAAAGTGGCACTGTTTCTCAAGTCTGTACAAATGTATAACCCCTCACAGTTCAAATGGAACTAGAGGTCCAAAGAGGAACACACTGGTCATACAGCAAATGTCAGGCCAGAGCCCAAGGCTCTTTGCAGAGCCCAGGGAGACAGAGAGTGGGGTAGCATAAGGCAGATGAGCAGGATGAAGCAGGTCCTGGAGTCTCTACCCCAGAGAAGCTACCATGCTGGACTTACCCCTTGCTCCATGCTTTCATTGGCACGGTCTGTCACCTTGGAGATGAGAGTCAGCGCACCTGGGGAGCAAAGGACAGACAAGAGTTTTATGAAGTCTAGCCCAGCTTCCATGGCCCTTACCTCTTCTTTGGCTGTGTACCTACTTTGTCTCCCCAGCAGTCACCATGAAGGTGGAGTGGCACCAGTTTTTCCCACTATAGCATCAAGTCACCAGCCTAACCCCAGCTCTTTCATGACTTCCTCAGTTTCCCTGGCTGCTGACTATATTACAGTGGGTCCACCCTGGCAGGGCCTGAGGCACCAGCCCAGGAGGGAGCATGGTGTGGCTAAGGAAGCAGTGAACATCTTGAAGCATCTTTCTTAGGTCACCTAATTCCATAACCTTCTCTTCCTCTGCTGGAAAGAGCCCCTAGACTCCCACAGCTAAGGATGGTAGAGGTTATCTCAAGAGACTTGAGGAGTCTTGGCAGATAACCCAAGGGTGTCATATGCAGAATACACCCAGCAGGGTCTGCTCCATGTCTGCACTGGACACTGGTGCAGACTTGAGGGTTGGTGGATAGGAGACAAAACAAAGCAGTGTAGCTTCCTCCAGGGTCTCTCCAGACTTACTCTGAGTGTTGTCATACTCGGCTGAGTCTGGGCACAGGTTGTTTAAATAGTCTAGAGAGAGAGGGGGAGACAATAGTCAGTTCTAGCAGTAAGTGGCTTCCTATCCTCCATGGGGACCTCCCCTCTCTAGAGAGGAAAGAGCTCCACAAGAATGGGATGTCCATCTTCTCACTGTATCAGCCCACCCTGAGACTAAGACCCCCTTAGCATCCTAGCCACCACTACCAGTCACTTACTCGTTCAACCCCTATCAATTCATGATCTGCTGTGTGCCTGGAACAGTTACACCTCTGAGATACAGGTACAAGAAAGTACTTGCTGTCTACTGCAAGGCTACAAGACCTGACAAACCACACAGCACTATATTACAGTGTGGCTTATATAACAGTGGGTCCACCCTTGTGGGGCCTGAGGCACCAGCCCAGGAGGGAGCATGGTGTGGCTAAGGAAGCAGTGAACATCTTAAAGCATCCTTAGATCACCCAGCTCCTAGAACTTCTCTTCCTCTGCTGGACAGAACACTCAGGCTCCCACAGCTAAAGATGGGAGAGGTCATCTCAAAAGACTTGAGGAGACTGGCAGATACTCCAGGGGTGTCAAATGCAGAGTATACCCAGCTGGGCCTTCTCTGGGTCTATATTAGGGGGGGGGCATTACCTCTTGATATGGTGCTGACCCTGCTACCTATCTTCTGCCTTGCTCCTTGAAGTCTGGCCATGCTACCCCTTGAACAGGTTCCTATCCTAGGGCCTCT